AATAGAAGACAGCACTGTGAATTCAAATATTGCTGGCAACATTTAGGTTAATGTTGGTACTCACAAGTCAAATTTTGCTTCTGGATTTAAGAGATAATTTGAATGCCCAAAATTTTACATATTATATTTTTATTTAACCTTTAAATTTCCCAAAAAAAGGCTCTCTGAGATTAATAATGTCTTTCACACGAATGTCCGAGCTAAGAAGTACTTTACAGTACACACATTTAAGAATTACATACATAAACTACACATTTAAGAACACCTCAAACAATTACAAATCATCCAATCACCCTCCATTTCCTGAGTGATTGACTGAAAATGATTCAAAGACAGCAGATTTTGTCATTTCAATTTAGACTGAAGAATTTTCCAATCAGACAGAGCTGCGTACATAAAAGCCTTCTTACCCAAATCAGTGAAACAATTTTGAGAAGGGAGGAATTATTCCCCTGAATTTTTCTGTTATATAAGACAGCAGAGGTATAAAGGACACATCCCTAAGATGGCCTTGTAAACAATCAAATACCAATGCATTTCTCTCCTGATCGACAGAGAAGGCCAAGCTACTCTGTTATACAATGTACAATGATGAGTTAAAGGTTTACAGTCAGTTATGAATCTTAGTGCACCATGATAAACAGCACCGAATGCTTTGAGGAGGTGACAAGCGCAGATAACAGCATATGAACAATACACTCTTAATATGACAATATGGATTTGCATGCATTTACTTAACAAACACTTGCAAATGTCCATTTTAGGTGCATCTCAGTCTAGTTAACATATACAGTTGAAGTCAACAGAGAGAAGTTGAACAGAGCAAGGACATTTTCACAGTATGTCTGATAATATTTTTCCTTATTTGTTAATTTCGGCTAGAATAAAAGCAGTTCTTAATTTTTTTGAAAACATTTAAGGTAAAAAATCAAAAGCCCCTTAAAGCTATATATAATTTTTGATAGTCTACAGAACAAACCATCATTATACAATAACTTGCCTAATTACCCTAATTACTTCCTAGTTAGCCTAATTAAACTAGTTAATTCTTTAAAAGTGACTTTAATCTGTATAGAGGTATCTTGAAAAATATCTAGAAAAATATTATGTACTGTCATCATGGCAAAGATGAAATTAATTAGTTATTAGAAATGAGTTATTAAAACTCTTATGTTTAGAAATGTGTTAAAAAAAATCTTCTCTCCGTTAAACAGAAATTGGGGAAAAAAATAAACAGTGAGGCTAATAATTCAGGGGGCGGCTAATTATTCTGACTTCAACTGTATATTTCTTCAGTACCTGCTTCAGTAGTCAATTTATTAAGCAGAATTTAATGATGCATTTTACATCCTAAAGGAAACTTTTACACTTAACATAAATGAACAGTTGATCTTTGAGAGATTTTCCCTGTTACTTGCCTTAAATATGACAGGGAAAATGTATGAAGTAAATGCTTTGGGTTATTTGAGTACCCCTGTGTTTTACATCGGAAACCCTGAAGGAGACAGCATTTCAAGATCTTATTATATTTTTTTTTTCTTTTGAAACAACTACCTTTGAATTACCCCACAGGCTTTTTGTAATGTTTTCTCTATTATGCCAGAACTATTACACTGAAAACCACTGTAAGTGATAATCTACCGATCATGATTGCTCAATTTAGTACTTACAAGTTGTTAGGATTTATGCCAGAGATTCTCATGGTGCTTTACCTGCATCACAAGGTCTGTGACATCACATATGTTTCCCTGTTCAACCTGTGTATTCACAAATATTCCACTTGGCAGTCAAACAACCTTTCATTTTCCTAAATATAATACGTAATATGTATTTATGCACACACAAGTATGGACAACAGTTTTTACATAAACTACTACTCAGAAATCAAATCAGTTGAAGGTTCTAGAAGTTTTGTAATTTTAGCTTTTAGCATTATATTTGTACAAAATATAATGCACAAATATCATATATGGCATGTGCACATTTCCTCATGATGAAAATATGCAAAAAACATCATGAAAGTCCCCACATCCCCATGCGGCGTAATGTCCCGAGCACAAACTGGTCAGTTGACATTTCATTGAATCTTCAGTGTGAACTTGCCATGTATTTTGAACTCAAGATTCCCCAGTAATTTTACTAAACCATCTGTTTTTTTGTTTTGTTTTGCTTCAATTATAATGCAATGTCATTGTTTGGCATTAACATTTTTGTTCCCACAGCAAAAGATTCCAATTACTCAAGGGAATTAAAACAGACCACTAATCGCACATCGCTGCTGATAATAAAGCTTCCCAACAGGAGCGTGTTCTTAATTAGGTCCAGCGGGGGATAAATGGTATGTTCAGTTGACAGAAAACTTCAGAAGTGCCAACTTCACAAACACAAAGCTCCATTTTACCCGAGGCAATGAAATAACAAGCTTTTAATAGAACAAATTGGGAGTATATACAGATGTAATAAATTGAATGGCTTTTAAATGAACACATTAAGATTTAGTGCGGAACAGAAATAAAATATAAAATTCACAGTGAAATTTGTAGGGCTTTGATTACTTCAAGACCTCACAGTTTAGCATGATTTGTTTACTGCCAGAAATTCTGGGTGGGTTTGTGTTTATGCATTTAATGGCTTTTGTTCTATTTCTTTTTTATTGTTGTTGTTGTTGTTGAAGTCTTAGATAGTTGCTCATTCACAAGACCTGGGAAAAGCTGCAGAACTCTTTAATCAACTATATTCTTTAGGTTTTTGTTTTTAAACACCTGCAGTCCCACATTGCAGTGATTGTTTTTTATGGTTGTGTTATGATAAATGGCACAAAATGGCTTCAGATTTTGAGATAGTGGATGATATGACTTGACAAATGCTCAATAAGAGGTTTGTTTGTTTATTTCTTATTACAGTTTGAGATTTCACTGAAGATGGAAGTGTCTTGTCTACACATGCCTTTTGTGTGTGTGTGTGTGTGTGTGTGTGTGTGTGTGTGTGTGTGTGTGTGTGTGTGTGTGTGTGTGTGTGTGTGTGTGTGTGTGTGTGTGTGTGTGTGTGTGTGTGTGTGTGTGTTTTGTATGATGGTATGAGCTTTTATAAACATAAAATGAATCCTACGTCCAAAAAAAACAGTGTAAACAAAAGATTTATAAAAATTAATGACAACAAATGTTTTTTATGGAACTTTAACTTGCATTAAACTTTTAAAACTTTATTTTTTAACCATACACATTTAAACTTTTTTTTATTTTTATTAATGTAAAAAAAGTTGTAGGCTATTACTTGTAAAATTCGTTTGATAACAGTAAATAATTAAGACAGAGACATCTACTTTTTAAGTGTGGATAAATTAATATTTGTTTTAATTTAAGTTAATTTAAGTTCCTAAATGATCAGATGATGATCTTGTGCTGAATTGCATAATCATTAGAGATTCCCCTGCTCTATACAAAAGCAGAAAACACAATTCAAAAGATTAACTGTTTTACAAAATATTACCATCAAATGAGGGATCTATTAGTTGTTTAAGATGCAGCTGAAACAGAACAAAACAGTTAAATAAGGGATCATAACAATGACATTAACAGACAATCCACTGTAGAGACAGTGAACTATAAAAAGATTTAACTTTGATGTTGACAAGTGTAGCTTCTGCTCAAATCTTCCAGAAACCCTTACTTTTTTCTTGTGAATTTACTTTTAAATTCTGGTTTGATATAAATACTTTGCTTTCATTAAATATGATCAGTCCCCTCTGTTTTTCTAGAAGATATTTCATTTTACAAATGTGATTCACATTTTTCTTCCTCTGATGTTGTGAACTTAATTTTACTAATGGGTAAATATCATATTCATTATTGTAAATGGAAAAAGTGCAGGCCCTCTTTTAGATGTTTCCTTTCTGAGGTTGGGAAAGTGGCTCAAAGCTTCAAATACTTCAGAAACCAAAGTAAAATAACTGAAGCTCTCTGTACTTCATTTTCAGAATACACTGCTCCTTGCTTTTTGTTTTAATTTATTTTATTTTAATAGTAAACATGACTTGCGATGGTGATTGTTCCCTGTTTTGTGATGTAAACGTTTAGCAACAAACAATAAATAACTGTGTTGATGGATATTTCTGATATGTGAAAGACTCTGGCGCCATCCAGTGTATTAAAAGGCAAAAGGCCACACATCGAGTGCGTTAAAAAAAAGCAACCAGATGCATTCTGTCCACACAAATTCTTTATAAATATGCGGAGGAGTCACACTATTACAGCCATGTTGCGGTATGCGCGCTCTCAAACAGACACACATACATACACACACACACACACACACACACACACACACACACACACACACACACACACACACACACACACACATTGAGCGTTGCTGTCATATGTAACTAACTAGAGAAACGTGCAGACCAAAAACAACTACTAACAAAACATTGATTATATATTAAGTGTTATTATTATGAATAAACAATTTCGATAATTCATTCGAGCGCCATTGTGAGCAGTAATGGAAAGTCCGACTCAATACAGCTAATCGGTTCTTTTGAACAGTTTCGTATAACCGGCTCATAAAATGGTTCAATGATTCACTTCATACGTCACGTGATTACGTCATCACGTAGACGCTGAGCTGAACTTTGTACTCATTAATAAACGAAATTGTTGATTTTCCATAATTTTATATTAGTTGTTATTGTATATAGGCTAATTATATTATTTTGTCTCTGAAAAACATATTTTATCTTTGACACATTTATAATGCTCTGTATGATTTTGATGTACAATATGCAGTCTTACATCTTTTATTTAAACCTTTTTTTTTTTCGAAAATGTTAAGATCAGGTCAGGTCGTAAAATATTTTGGTAAAAGCATTTTGGGTCATTAAGAGTCTGACGTTCAAACTGTAAATTCACGGAATCAGTGCATTTCATAAATGAATCACTTGATTCATTCAAAAGATCCGACTCAAAAGAATCAAATTTCTTCTGTGTGGTGGGCGTAGTAAACTGTGTACACAGAACGTGAGTTGGTTATAATCTGAGCAGTCACAAGAAACAACAACGGCGTGTACGAACAACTTGCAACTTCAAGTCTTCCAACATCTCCAAACTCCTTAGTTTCTACGCATTTCTGCTCTCAGTTCTCTGGATATGGGCTAAATGTTTGGAAGTGGTCGATGAATAACTAAATAAAATGGGTTCGTCGAGCTCCACCCTATTAAAAAAAATCCCAAACGTCGACGAGTTGATGCAAGAAACGGGCTGTGAGTGACATTTAACACATGTGCTTTATCGCTGACTTTGTTGTTGTCGCGCATGAACCAGTAAACAACGATGTGAAATGACGATTGTAAGCACTGCACGTGTTGCCGTTTATATGTGTAACTTTCATGAGCGCAAGGATAACAGCATGTCGCATTTGTGAGGGGAAATTCGAGTGCATGAGGAGAAATTGTCCTAAAGTTTGCAAACTAACACACAAATACACACTGGTCGTTGCGCAGAAAGTACATACCTAAGTTTATATGTGTAACGTTATATGCAGAGAAATTAAAAATATCAAACTGCACTAGACTTCATTAATGAACTGCATAAAATGTACAACTGCAATTTATTTCATTATAACTGATTAAATGGTCAGTTCAGTGTACGGTCCATCATTCTTGATAAGCTCATGTTGTATTTGTTGAGTCATGGATGTTTCAGTGAAACAGGTTTCTAATATGCTGCAATTTTTATTTTTCCAGTTTCGCCTGCCCACATTATTCGCCTGTATGAACGCTTTGAAGCTCTGGATAAAGAACGACGAGGCCATCTCTGGTGAGTTTCTAATGCATGCCTTACACTGTTAGCATGTTTAATAATTAAACATTACCTGCTCATATGTTGTTTTATTCTCAAATAGTCCACAGGATTTTGGAGCCATAAAGGAGCTGGCAATGAACCCCATAGGAGACAGAATAATAGATGCCTTCTTCTCCCCAGGGTAAAAACAAACCTTTAAAAAATGAGAGAGAAAGGAGGTGAAAATAATTACATATTGAAGACTTGCATGTTTGATTGAATTCTCTATGAATTATTAATTTAAAGTCAAATGTGGTGAAAATCAAGTGTTTAATATAGTTCATTTATTTATCTGGTGTTTTAAAGGGCCATGACACCCCCCACTTTCGGTTAAAGTCTACTTCAGAATTTTTTCAAAAGATGATGCATAAATAATGGGCGTGGAGCTCCGCGAGCATAGGGCAGGAGTGGGCGTGGCCAGCAGGGAAGAAGGGGAGCGAATAACTGTTGTTGACAGTTAACTCACAAAATGAGACACAAACCGTGAGGAGACGCATGAGTTTATAGTTCACAAAGTTAAAATGCAAAGAAATAAACAGTAGCTAATTTAATGCCCTGCTACATTTGTTGTTCGTAATTTCATATACACATAACCACAGTTTATATAATTTTAAAGATAATTGTGTTCTTGTAAACACTATAAATGAGGATTCCCCCTCGATCGCCGTGTCTAAATTATAGATCTTGAATGCAGACTCAGTGCAGCAGGTCTCCTGACCTGCCTATTTTACCCATTAGCCCTGCTGGTAATATAGAGGATTTAGGCAAACACAGCAGCATGGCGATGTGTCTGAATGTGAACAAACTCCTGATAAATGTCAACGTCCGCCATTCTTCAATTCTCGTGCTGCTCTCCCGACAAAAATGCTTGCAGCACACACACAGCTTTGCTGTATGATCGGCCCTGACAAGAAAAAACATGCAACAAACCCCGTGGATCATGAAAACAAACACATACGAGCCTTCATGAACGGCTACTGCGTGCCGCTGGTCTGTGTGTCTCAGCTTGCTTAAAACTGGCAGGTCTGCCTTCGGAAAGCACATGCTATCATGAATAATTAAGCAGCCGGCTCTTCTCATAGGATAAGAAAACTCCGCTATGAATAATAATGAGAAAACTACGCGTCATCATTGCACTTGCAGTACTGTGCTACGTCGCCGATTTTGATCCCGCCCCAAAAATCATTTTAAACCCGGAAGCTGAAATTAGCTGACAAAAGCTCAAAATTATCCAGTTTTCCCCACAATTAAAGCTGACAGGTGCTAACATTGTCTTAACTGATGCTCAACACACACACATCTGTTAATATAAAAAAAAAGTTCTCCAGGGTGTCCTGAACCTTTAAAGTGCAGACCTTGCATCTATATCAGTACTATAAAGCACCAAAGACTCAGAAATGCAGTACAATCTTGTCAGCTTATGGGACAGTGCTTTTCCTGTCATTATCTCCACTGAATTCTATAATGGTCAAAGCATTTCCACCCAATGATGTTTATATTCTAGCATGGTTGACTAAGATTACGGAACAAAACATTAAAACATTTGCAACACATAAGCGGTTTGATTGCAGTCAAGCCTAATAGTGGTATCAGAACGTAGTAAAAAGTTGTACCTAAAAGTGATGCATTAGATTCTGATGAAATGACAAGCTAACCGCGTTCCATGCCTACTAAATTAGTGTGTAAAGTAATTTTTCAGGGCATTTCAAAATATCTTCTTCCATGTTTTACAGAAGTCAGAAACTCAAACAGGTTTTGAACAAGTGTAGGGTGAGTAGATAAACATTCAGAGTTTAGACAATTACATTTTCTGGTGTACTACCTCTGTAATGGTATAAAATTTGAGACTGCATGGGACTCTGGGATAGTTTTTGCCAGTGTTTGGGTAATGCAAGTAATGCGAGTTATGTAATAACATTACTTTTTAAAGAAACAAGTAAAAGGACGCATAACTTAAAAAAAAAAGTAATAATATTTGAGTCACTTTTTTGAAAATGTAACGTGAGGTTTTTTAGTTAGCTTTAAAAAATGAATTGCTAAATTAAAATTAAAGTAGTCACAATGAATCATGCAGTCAATGAGAGAATGTTCATTATTTTGAACACATGGAAGAAAAAGAGGATTATAGTCTCCAAGGACAGTGACTTTACTTAAGACAAGTTAGTATCGAACACATTGCTTTAAACTTTCAACAATCTGTATATACGGCATTGCTTTGGGGTCAAGAAGTTCTCAGATAACATTATCCTAAAATATATTTTTAATGCTTTTTTTAAACAGGGTTTAAAAGTTAAATTTAAGAATTTTTTAAGAACATGAAATGGACTATGAATGAAAGTTAAGGATTTGTTTTCAAATATTCCAGTTAGAAAAGATTTTCACTTGCCCAGTCAAAAATATTACAAAATATTACATTTAATAACAATAATTTAATTTGAATATTTTTTATTAATCTTCATATACATCCATTCAAAAACCCAATAACCCTTACCAAAAATATAAAAAAGAATTGCTGTCAATTACTTCAGTCTACAATATAATAATTTAATAGCAAAAAAAAATAGGTCAGGTCAGTATCCTCAACAGTAAATAAATGAAGAACTTGTAAGCTAATGTTACTATAAGGAAAGTAATTAAATGCTATTTTTAATAAAAAGTTAAAAGTTTTATTGATATGTATTGTTGGTGATTGTATGGGTGTTAATGGTCAGATTGCGTAGCTATACATGAACAAAGGAAAATTAAGACCTGTAAAAAATAAAGAAATAAAAAAATAAGACCTAAAACACAACATTTCAGTAGATTTAAGACTTTTTAAGCCTAAACTTTATCTTTTGAGATGTAAGACTTTTAAAGACCCTGCAGACACCCTGGTAAATGTAGATATAGGTTATACAGTTTGTTATTAATTGCAGAGCTCCTCTATTAAAAAAAGAAAGAAAAAAAAACAAGTTCTGAAAGAGATCAAGCCTCAGCCAGGTAATAAAAAGTAATGCAAAAGTAACGTAACACATTACTTTCCATTAAAAAGTATCTAAGTTACGCAACTTGTTACTTTTTAGGGAATAACTCAATATTGTAAAAGTTGTGGATTAAAGGATAGTAATGTTTTAAATAATGTTCTTTTTTTTTTGCACAACTCAATCATTTTTATGACCTTAGACATCAATGCATGAGCCAGAGCCAGAATTCTTTTTGTGGTGTTTGTATGTTATTTTTTTGACACTTCAAAACCAAAGTTGTTGACTTGCATTATATCACTTGAAAATCGTTGTTATTTTGGGTTGCATCATACCTGAACAACTAATAAAAACCAAAAAATATATATAATAATACAAAAAAATTTGCATTTTGGTCAGATAGGCCATCTAGGTCTTTTTTTGACAATATGATGACATAACGATCTGAAAAATACTGGTTTCATCGAGTCATTCTTAATAATCGTAGTCTTTAATAGTGATGTTACCTTTTCAGAAAGGACACGGTGGATTTTCACACTTTTGTAAAGATCCTGGCTCATTTCCGGCCCGTTGACAAGGATCGACCCAAAGAGCCCAATTCTCCTGAACCTATCAACAGCAGGAGCAACAAACTCAAATGTATGTTTGCCTTTACCGGATAGAGAACGTACATTCAGATGGTCCTCATCACAGAATAAAGCACATTTATTATTCTAAAAGGATTTATGTTATGATAACGACCATCTGTCTGCACAACATCCTGCTATTACTCTGTTCTTCTCGGAATAAATAAATGGCTTTGAAATGATCCCCACATTCCTTTAAATCTCATCTTCCAGTTGCGTTTCAGCTGTATGACCAGGACAAGGATGGCAAGATTTCCAGGGATGAGCTTTTAAAGGTCAGTAGTTTTGATATTGTGAGATGTTCTGCTCAAATAAACATAACTGACCGCAGATCTGGCACAGGTTCTGCGGGACATGCTGGGACTGCAGGTGACTGAGGAACAGCTGGAGAGCATTGCAGACCGAACGATACAGGAAGCAGATCTAGACCGCGATGATGCTATATCTTTTGAGGAGTTTCGCAAGGTATCACCCAGAATTTTGCATTCAGTGTGTTTTATTTTCTATCTGATGTACTGTTAGTGGAATGCGATTGGTAATACTTCTTTATTTTTGCATTTCAGTCTCTAGAGAAGGTCAACATTGATCACAAGATGAGCATTCGCTTCTTGCGCTAGACTGGAAAAGCTTCAACAACTTTCTATGGCTCTGGTTCTCAGTAAATGGTAGAAATATCCTATATGCACAGGACAGTCTTTTCTGTCGAACAGGAATTTAATGCACTGATAATGACTGGCAAAAACTGCACATAGATTTACAGTATTCAGAGGATTGGAGCAGTTAGGAGTTTTGAAAATATTTTTAGTTGGCAACAATACGTTAAATGAATCAGAACAACAATGAAGACATGTATAAGTAGTTTCTGGTTAAAGTAAATGCTGCTCTTCTTACAGTATATATATCTTCTTATTATAATATACACATTTCAGTTCAAAGCATCCTAACAAAGGGGTTTCCATTAAAATATGAAGTAACTATTTTCAAACTAAAAGAATGTTTCATGAGAATCAAATCAGCGTATTCAAATGATTTCTGAAGGATTGTGTGACACTAAAGAATGGAATAATGATGCACAAAATTCAGCTTTGCACTACAGGAATACATTATATTTACAAGCAGGAGCACAAGAGACTTCAATTCTCTTTAAAAAGAAACTTTCAAACTCCTACATTTTGAATAGTAGTGTAAATGCTGGCGTCTTTACATTTCTGTCTTACAAATATTGTGTCTTATACAGTATTAATTATTGAATTCATTAGTTTGCTTTGTTAAAAATTATATTTTGTTACATTTAATAACTAGTATGTTTTCCTGCAGGGAAAAGAGTTTGTAATAATGTTTATAATGCACTGTGTCATATGTCAGCATACATAAATTTCATGATGCCAAGGTAAGATTTGACTCGATTTAACATTTAATGGATTAATTTAAAAAGAAACAAATCATCTCGGTAGAGGTTTTAAGCAGACATGGTGCTTTTCTTGCATTTTTTTTCTGACTTTATGCATCTTGATAAAAACTGGATTTTTCCCTGTGATTTAAGTATTGAAAACCTAATTCCTTCAGTCCAGTTATGCTTCATGCAAGTGAGATGAACGGCTACCTCACATTACTGCACTTAATGCATGCTGTGGCAAAACAGTTTAAACAAGGGCTTTTTTCATCTTTGTATTAAATGTAACTGACTTTTGAGAATGTTATTAAAATGCATTTTGGCAAAGTATTGTTCTGTATCTTTGTGGTACAAATATTTATTGAAAACAACTGAACATCTCTAACCTTTTTTATGAGTTATTTTAAAAGCCTTATCTTACAGTGTCCACTAGATGGCGCATCGTGTTTATTAATGACCGATGATAGTGGTAAACTGTTCGAACGTTTGGGAATTTAAAAAAACCCGACTTTAAAAACAATGAAAATGTCTTTATAAGAATTGTAAATATATATATATATATATATATATATATATATATATATATATATATATATATATATATATATATATATATAATCGAAAGCAGGACAACTGCTTTCGATATGTTTGTTAAAAAGGAAATCAGCATATGTAAGGGGGAAAATAAAACTGAATTTATTATTTAGTAAAGTAAGTTCAGGCACAAGTAATTTTTAGGTAAACAAATACACATTTAAATAATGTTTGTTGAACAGCAAATCAGCATATGTTATAGCAAATGATAAAATTTGGGAAATAAAGTGCAAAACTTGTGTGCACAAGTAACTATATAAGTACACAAATATTTATTTCAAACATTAGACACCCCAGTTGTTTGAGTGGTAGTGATATCCTGTAAAAACAATTATATGAAAAAGACCAAATTGTAGAACTTAATTACACATGTTTTATTGTTAAAGGTTTTTGAAATAAAATGGATTTATACAGAATCATGGAGCATGAGAGGAATTATGCTTTACGTTTGGGCATAGCAGCGATCAGCAACCAGTAAAGGGAGTAGCCAGTGCCTAAACAGAACCACAGTGAAAGATTAGATTCTCTTAACACTGATACATTTTTACAAACCTAAATAATAAAATATTTTTTTTACTTATACGAGATTCATTACCTACTACTGTGAGGGTCATGGTCAGACGGTACAGAATTGCATCTGTTGTGCCTCCTTTAATGTGGACAGGCAGACCATTATCCTCCTGAAGGTGAAAATACAAGTTACAAATAAAATAAAAAGAGTTTTTAATCTTACAATCTTAAATTCCAATGCAACGTAAATGGTGCATAGTAAGTAACCCCATGCATGTTATATGTTTTGCATAAATAATAATTAAAAAACATTAATTCATTTATATGCTTAAAGTGAGAATAACAATCTTACAAGTAAGAATAAACTAAGCATTTCAAATCACCAGAGCAACAATATATAGATGCCATGACACGTTTAAACCTTGTAGGAATGTGTTTGGTGTGTACAGAGAGGAAAAGAGTGTCTACTACAGGTGGTTTGTAATGCCCACTCACCTGTCTAAAGCACACTCAGACTTGTACAATGTTTTCACAAAAATAATAAGATGTCTGGTGTACATAGAGATAAAAGAATGAGTCTCCTAGCTGTGTCTTTATTAACAACAATAAAATTTGAGATATATGATTGAGTTTTATAAGAATACAGAATACATTTATAATGATCAATTATTTATAATAATTTCATATTTTACTTTACATACTAATTATTGAAATAATTAATTATTTTATCATTACATATAGTTTGCTGGGTATAAACCTGGGTATAAACACTGCAAGGCTGGACATTTATTTATTAATGTCGACTGCATTCTGAATACAGTGCATTTTATGTTGTCTATTTTGAGTTTATGATGAAATGTTAGTCAGTGCAGACATCATCTGAACTGATTAGTATTTCATGTATGAGACTGCACTTTCTACCTCATTTCATGATGTAAATTGATCTTACCAGGAAAATTTTCTGTTTCTCCGGCACCCTGTTCTTCATTTGTCGGACTGTTGTGCTGAAGGCTCGTGAAGCCAGCTGTGGAAGTCCCTGAAAGAGAGAGAGCTTCAGTACTTTGTAAATGATTTGTATGACGTATGATTTATTGAAGCACAGCAGTCTATCAATCTGTTACTCTGTATGCTTGTCTACTGCATACAGTTTGCATATACTTTAAAAACATTGTTTAAAAACTTTATTATTGAAGTAATCATTACTTTTTTTAGGCTAAGTCGTCAAGTATCAATCAATATGTCAATGTCAAGTACAAATATTTTAACTTCTTTTATCATCATCTTTTTGTTCTCTCAGACCTAAAAAAAAAGGTTAAGCAACTTCAAGCGTAAATATTGTGATTATATACATGAAGAGGGTCTGCTTTCCTCAGATAGCAATCTACTTTAAATGTTTGTAACATGCATAAAGATAGTTAAGTAGAACATCTTAAGTTAAGTTAAGTTAAATGTCTAAAAGTAATGCAGCATTTTATGGTTTCGAAGGTCAACTCAGCTTATCTAGAGCAGATATGGATTGCGGTTTTAGCCAACTGCTGTTTACCAGCACCTGGAGCAAACCAATCAGAAAGCAATAAAAAACTGGTGGGTTGGACTTCCCTGCGCACCAGTGTGTGTTTGTCTGCATGTCCACATGCTAAATGTGAAGAGGCTAATGGTGACATGACCTCCCCAATGTCTGGTTAAAAAAACAAAACGTGTGTCTTTTTGATATAAAGACACTTAAAGCAGATACTCAAGACAATAAGTTATGAGTGTTTTTCAGATTCCATGTTAATTATTAAAATGCTAAATAAACAGACTGTTTAATATAAAAACAGTTCTGTTAAACAGTTTGTAATAAAATGATAAACTTGATTTGTTTGCTTGCAAGAGCTACAATATCAGATGACTGCGGTGTGACCAAGTCTTTCCTGTAGAGGTCATTTATGATTGTCACTTTTCCAAAATCTCCCCACATTTCCATCTCTATAACAACGCTAAAACTTGTTCAAATCAAAACATAATAACCCTCCAACTAGTTTCCCATGCAAGGTGTGCAGTACTGTGGTCATACTATCTTTGTGTGACATAGTTCCTGTTTCACAAGTATTTTAGCAGTCGATTCTTCCTGATCTAGTCTACAGCTGTTATGCTTCCAACTATGCAGAAATAAAGAAGAACAACGGTGTATTTACCAGTAAATGCCTCATGTCCGATGCTGCTCTCTGTTATGCTTGTTGATTCGCGTCTAGTCGAGGCCCTTACAAGGACACACACACACATATTGCAGAACTTCTGAACTGGAGCCAAGAACAGTCAGGCGGAGAAAGATAAACCAGCTGATTTAATACATGCACATAACACTCGACTGCAGTAGTAGCAGTGGTCACTTTTTATGTTTTATGAATATAAAGCATACTACAAAACTTGCTGTGTAGTCTTTTTCCATTCAACCATATGATTAATAGCTTACAAAAATGTAAATATGCTATTAATTTACTCACCTGCAAGCCATCCAAAAACAATTCTTCAGTAGACCATTAAGGAAGATTTTTAGATGGTGTTCAGTGAATCATAATGCGAGTCAATCAGTCAAATAAAAAAAAAAAAATAATTCAAGCCAAACAAAATTAGTACCTGTGGTGTTACCTGGCAATGCATTGTGCAGGAACAAAAATTATTTATAACACTACTGTTTTTAATTCACAGCCCCAAGAAATGGTCTTGAGTACATACGTAGGGATACATAATGCCCTGGATAATGTACAAACATAAAAATGTTATATTTTAACAGATTGAACGCTTCCATCGGCTTTACACTGTAAGAAAAGTATAAAACGCATTATTTTGATAATATATTAGGCTATACTATCAACCCTTTAACTTGAACTTCAAAAGTATTTTTATTTTATTTTATTGGTTTGAAAATGTTTAAAAAGCATTTTTTTATCATAATCTATGCACAAATGGTCACAGCAGCAGTTCATGTCTGCTAAATGGTAAAAAAAAATAAAATAAAAATAAATAAATATAGAAATAAAAATATAGAAAATGCCTTAATGATATAAATAATATAAAGTATATATTTATTAATATATATTTCAAACTAATTTTACATGTGGTCAACGTCATGTGCTAAACTACATTCAATGGTTTTACACTGCAGCTGACCACCTTAATCCTAAAGTTAAAGACTACACTGAAAAAAAAATATTCAAAGATGATTCCTTGGATTTTCTAAATTTATTTGCGTTAAGTGATTGTAAATAGTTTATTTGGGCTGAATTTAAACAAACAAGTTGAACATTGCTAAATTTAATTTGTTTGTTTAAATTCAAGACAACTTGTTTGGAACAATTTTGCAGAAAACATTTTTTCAGTGTATTTGACATTATTTAGCAAAATCATTATATTATAATAATAATAATGCATTTTATTTAAAGGCGCCTTTCATGACACACAAGGTCACCGTACAGGACAGCTAAAACAATCAATTCAAATAAAAACACAATAAAAACAATAGAATACAATACAAACTTTAAAAATGCAGTCGGGTCAAATAGAATAGGCTGTTCTAAACAGATGTGTTTTGAGTTTGTATTTAAATTGTGAAAGAGAGTCTAAATTATGCAGATCAGGAGGAAGTGAATTCCAAAGCTGAGGAGCAGAGTGGCTGAAGGATCTGCTCTCCATGATGACAAGGCGGACAGAGGGAACAGTGAGGTGGATGGAAGAAGAAGACCTGAGTGTTCGAGAAGGCGATATGAACAAGATTAGCAAGGTATGGAGGAGCGAGATTGTGAATGGTTTAAAAGTGAGAAGAAGTATTTTATAATTGATTCTGAAAAAGAAGGGAAGCCAGTGAAGCTGTTGTAGAATTGGTGTGATGTGACAGACAGAGGGGGTTTTTGTGATAATACGGGCTGCAGCGTTTTGTACCAGTTGTAATTCATGAAGAGTTTTTTAGGGAGGCCAAACAGAAGGGAATTACAGTAATGTAAACGTGATGTGACTAAACTATGAACAAGAATGCCAGCTGAATGAGGTGTGAGGGAAGGACGTAAACGATTTATATTTTGAAGGTGGAAATAAGCAGACCGGGTGACATTATTAACATGTGTAGTGAATGAAAGGGTTTGATTGACCTGACATGTATTCTTTTTTTTTATTTTTATTTTTTTATTTTATCTCAAAAAAGTTTGTCTGGTAGAAAAACACTGTATTACTATTCTATTCTGTTTTACATTCAGGATAGATTTTAAAGTATTATTACTTGTCTATAAATCACTGCCTAGGACTTCAATATATTACAGATATCCTCACTGAATACAAACCTAACAGGTCACTTCAGATCTTTAGGATCAAGTAAATCAGAAATTCCAAGAGTTCGGTCAAAGCAGGGTGAATCCACTATTAGCTAGTACACCTTCTGCGGTTGGAATCGGCTTCCAGAAATGATCAGATGTGCTCCAACATTAGGCACATTCAAATCAAGACTTAAAACACATCTGTTTAGCTGTGCCTTTACTAAATACGCAGTATGCTATGTCCCACAGATCACACTACAATGTCTTACTTTAATTTTCATTCTTTTTAACACAATCTAACCTGTTTTATGTTTTTTTTTATCATTTTTAATTATTTTAATATTTTTTCTTGATTCTTTTATTCTTTTTATTCTTTTGTCTAATTTGAATTACCATTGTGTATGAATGTGCCATATAAGCAAACTTGCCTTGCCTGAAAAGTTGCACTTTTTCATCATCAAAACAAAGATCACAGACAGAGTCAGATGACACGATTAAGTGTTTCTCTCTGCAGTCTCTTTCTAATCTCAATGCATCACAGTATCACTTCCATTTCTCAAGCATGCAAACAGAGAACTGTTAGTGACTTGTTAGTGGCATGTTTCACTTCTGCATTACACCAAAGCAAAGGAAAGTGAATTAGCCACTGTGTCACAGACTCTCAGAACAGACGGATCAGCATGACCTACAGTAAGAATCTACCTGAATAGCTATATAACCTCTGTTTAAATGCATATTTACTGTAACAATCTGTATTGTTTTAGATAAACACATTCTCTGGGCCTTTACCGCTGCTCTGGCCACAGGCTGGGTCCTTAGTAATGATGAAGGATGCTATTATGGGACTGTCATGAAGCAGTAAGATTTGAATATAGTTTCATTAATAATCAGCATATGTTTAGTAAATGCTACTGACCAGCAGAGACTGGCATTAATTAATCAATCAGATATTCAAATGTTGACATCAAATAGACTGTACTTGAATGTAAATGAACAGGAAATAATTGGACTGCGTTGAGTTTAAAGATGTGTCATAGTAAAAAAAAAAAAAGTGTGACTTATTTATATTTTCAGCTCATGCAACTGGACTTGTATGCTGCTCACTCTTCAATGGCCTGGAAGTTTCTGTATAGTATGTCCTTATATACATTGGACTTAATATATTATATTGATTTAAGTAGGTTGAAAAGTATTCAACACATATCTAACATTTCTTACTTGCAGGGTCTTACTAATAAAACGATTTGCAAAATACCACTGACTATTCAAAACTGGACCATCCATGGCCTATGGTATGAAAATGTGTATTATTGTATTAACATTATGTTTGTAGGACTGGTCTTTTCTATTGTTTATATCAGAATTTTATTTTCAAATGTAAAATTTATTTTGATGACAAAAGTAAAAACAAAAAAAGTTCTTAATTATTTAATGGTGTTTTACTTTACATTTAGGCCGATGCATACAGGTCACTGCTGTAACTGTTGGCCAATATTTCATTCCCACCTTCAGGTAAAATACTTTTAAAATTATTTTATTAATAAGTTTTTTAAATGAAGTATTTAATTTGATTCAGAAATGTGAACTATACTATCTAAAATAATCTTTATTTGTTCAGGAAATCGAGCCAGAACTCACTCAGCTGTGGCCATCTTTAATAAAAGGAAAGCATTTCTTCAACTTTTGGTAAAGGAGCTATGAACATTTACTGTTTAAAAATTAAATGTCTAATGTTTGAAGGACATTAAGACACTTTTCCAAATACTTCCAATTTTCCAAATGCTTCCGAATACTAATGTGAAGTTACATTTGAGAAACTTTGTGTGAGATCACTCTTAATTCTGTGGGGCAAGGCGGCATATTCACATGATTGAACAAACGCAATGCAAAATATGCATGTGGAAATCCTTCACAATTGCGAACAGAATCCAAATACATGTTTTCCATACATTTTAAGCACGTTGCCAGCAAATATTTAGCATATTTAAGCATGTTCCTAATATGGCTTAGTATGTGGTAATTTTTGTTATTATTATTGTCCATACTGTGGGTCATAGCAGTAAATTCACATGACATGATGCCAAATTTGTGAGAAACTCATTCATCCTTAAACCTAACATCCTATTTAAATGAAAAATGTCTAGTCCTTTAAGAAATAAGTAATGTATTGATCCAGTTTTGCTTGCATGTTTTAACATTGCTAGAATGTTTCCACAGTTTTAGCATTTTCTACAATATTTCTAGCATGTTTTAATGAGCTGCTAATGTTTTAGCACCTTGTAAGAATATTTTCTTAGCATGTTGCTATAATATTTTAAGATTGTTTTACAAGCTGCTGATGTGTTTTAGCTCACTGCTAGAATGTTTCTACCATTTTAGCATGTTTCAGCACACAAAAAATCATGTTTCAGTACATTACTATTATTGTAATCGATTTTGTGGGTCATGATAGAACCCAGTTCCAGATTTTTGTGGGCAAACCATTTACACTCATTATTAAGATTATTAAGCAAACTAAACAGTTGGACAAACTTTGATGTTGGCTTAAGAAAGACTGGTGAATGATAATTATGAAATGGCAAAAACTGTTTGTGCTTGAAAGTATTTAGTTTTAACATTTTAGTCTGAAATTGTCTTGCATTTAAAGTAGTTTAGGAATGTAGAATTTCAACACATTTTAAACATACAGTTGAAGTCAGAATTATTAGCCCCCTTTATTTATTACCCCCCTGTTTATTTTTTCCCCAATTCCTGTTTAACGGAAGTTTTTTCAACACATTTCTAAACATAATAGTTTTATTAACTTCTAATAACTGATTTATTTTATCTTTGCCATGATGTCAGTAAATAATATTTGACTAGATATTTTTAAACATACTTCTATACAGCTTGAAGTGACATTTAAAGGCTTAACTAGGTTAATTAGGTTAACTAGACAGGTTAGGGTAATTAGACAAGTTATTGTATAACAATAGATTATTCTGAAGACAGTCGAAAAAAGAATTATCTTAAAGGGGCTAATAATTTTGACCATAAATGTTTTTTTTTTTTAAACTGCTTTTATTCTAGCCAAAATAAAACAAATAAGACTTTCTGCAGAAGAAAAAATATGATCAGACATGCTGTGAAAATGTCCTTGCTCTGTTAAACATAATTTGAGAAATATTTAAAAAAAGATAAGAAAAATCAAAGGGCGGCTAATAATTCTGGCTTCAACTGTACATTACATTTTCTAAACAACTGAAACCAATAGTAAATTTGTGTGTGGATATTTTTAGCTCTCACAATATTTTTTTCAATAAACAATGATGTATGTGTCTGCATCATCATGATAAAGTGAATAAAATAATAGGAACAGAGCATTTTAAACCTAATTATACTGCTGTGTCTGAATCTCATGCATATTTCTCTAAACACTAGTGATTGATATGATTTGGCAGGAGGGAGGAATGGATTAAACACGGGACGTGTGCTGGCTGTGACGGGGCCATGGGTTCACCGCTACTTTACTTCCAGGCTGCAGTCAAGCTTCGAAAACTCTTTGACATTAATAGGTGGGTGTTATAAGCACATAAAGCATGATATCATTCTATCATGAGCTCATCTATTTCTCCCATGTCATTTTGTATAGCGTCTTGGAAAGCTCTGGAATCAAAGCCTCATGTGAGGTGTCCTATAAGGTAAGTTTATTGAAATGGCCAAGAATCATGATGTCTCAGATTTAGTACATTTATCAAGTAACACTTCATCAATCTTTCCACAACGTGATCTGCAGTATGACGACATAAGCAAGGCCCTGACCTCACTGCTGGGAGACAACTTTGATTTGCAATGTGTGACAGACAGTAAGGTGAGAGAATCAATGTTGAATTATATCTTTTTCTTATTTTGTAAATAATCGGGTTCCAGGGTCTGTTTTTATATCCCCTTGTGAGTTAGGAGTTATCATCATCATCATCTAAACAAACCCACAATAGATTCGAAAATGTCATTATTTTAACTTCTTCTTTTCGTTCAGATGTTCTGCAGGACAGATGTTTTAAATCATTTTTATCTAATTTGTAAACATAATAATTAAGGTACAGATAATTATAGATGCACATTAAATAAATACTCAAAATAGACTATCCACAACCTTTCCTTATACCTTTTGACACTTTTGGGCAAGTTATTTGAGTAAATGTTTGTTTATTAATATTATTAGTGAGTTATTAAAAATGTTACATAATTACAATTTAAGAACTGGGAATTTTCTGAACTATGACTTGTAGTACCTGACCATGCACCTCACACAGAATCAGAGAAAAATGATGGAGCTTCCAGTAAAATGTAGGCCTATACTTAATCAGTTATTTAATATAATTTATGTTTCTAAAATAAGTGTTACTGGTGTAAATTAGTGTTATCTCCCAGCTTTAGGAATATTCCAGTAAAGCAGATGTGAGGGAGGATTTGAAGATAAAAAAAAGAGCAGAGCACACTTGTGAAGTATCAGGTTTTTTTTTCCTGCATAGAGAATTACATTTTGTACCACCTCTGTCTTTTAACACAAACAAGCAGGCAGTAACTTGCATACTGACCAGCTATACTGACCAATGACCATATACTGACAGAGACCCACAAGTGCTCAAGCACTGGTCACGTATTAAATTACATTTAATGTTAGCCTTTTTAAGCAAGCTAATGTTTTAATTGATACGATTAAAAATAATGCAAAATGTGTTTGTTTCAAGTAGCAAACTTGCATGATTTCATGGTTCATTAGTTTCAGTAATTTTGAGTGGATGAGATTCTAAACAGGAAACGGCCCTAAATGTAGGCTAATTGTAAATGTTCGGCGGACAAAAAGTTGTATAAGATTATCAACAACAATAATGATACAAAATTTGTGTCTTCCAACTATGAAGTGATTTTTACTCTTATTAAAGTTACTTTACCGTAATGTCTTACCTTTAACAAACGAACTCCTGTCAGAGGAAGAAAACCGTTGTCCTGATTCAGTAACTTATCCTACGTTATCAGTACAAGGAGATTTTGTCAGCATACGTGTCAGCGTCATTATTTAATGTCGTTACTTCGCATTGTTTTTACAAAAATATAAGCTGTAACCTCTGACAAACGAACTTCCCTGCTCAGTCAGACGTTACGGTGCGCGCTCGCGATTTTGTTTAACATACGTCATACATAAATCATCGCTGACTTATGATTTTAGTTTATGCTTTTCAGCTTTACGTACAGGTGTTGACAGATTCACGAAATCTATACAATACTAATCAATACTATGCTATAGTCTACTGTCTGAGTCTAATTTAGGACTCATATGCAAACAAAAATTACGTTAATGCAAATATATATGAATTTGGAAAAATCAATGAATAATATTATTATTTAATGAATCTGTTTTTAAATTATTCAGATAAAATCTCAGCTAAACCCAAAAACATAACTGTCCTTTTCTCATTTTTTTTAGGGTCGTGAAGCATGGATCCAGCTGAAGATCCATCTTTCGAGGAACCAAACCATTGGATGCCCCACAGAGAAGCAAGACGAAGCATTCTATAATTTAGCGTGGTATAAAAGCCCTGGACATCCTTGTCCGAAGAACACCACCATCTTTTTTGTCCCAATTAACTATGACAACCCTCATGAGCCATGTAACTAAGAGAAGCCACATCATTTCACTTAAGCTAAAACTATAGACATGTACACATTTGACCATTGTGTTCTACTTTACAGCTGTGTTCTGAATAAAATCAAATTCAACTTTGCATGCTGTATTTCCTTCAGTAAGCCATTAAAAATTACAATAAAAATGCAAAAATGGTGAAAGGGTTTTGAAAAACCTTTAATGTGCTCAGTCAGAATGTACATCAACTATCAATGACATTAAAGGTTGAGAAAGTAATGGACCATGATGCTGGAGAATCTTTAATGACGCTGGGAACAGCAGTTTTATCTCAGCTGCTGGAGCTCGAATCACTCGTAAGAGCATAACAATGGAATTCCTCTTCACGATCGATGTTCCAAGTTTGGGCAGGCAGTAAAAGTTTCAGAAGGAACAGCCAGCAGCTATGAAATATTTCATGCGAACACTCAGGATGGATGGATTTAGGAACTCACGGTTCACATTTTATTTGACGTGGAATCAATTTGCCAAAAAACGTTTCTACACCACAGAGAAAACAGAAAAAGAAGACTACCCACTAAAACCTTCCACTAATTAAAAAAAAAAAAAAAAAGCTCACGGAAAGTGACTATTCTGCAGCAAACTGCATTCATTTAGAAAAACGTGTTTTAATGTGTGGGGTTCTTCACACTTCCAGTTTCCCAAGGAAGCGGAGATTGAGAATCTTCAGCTGCTCGTCCAACTCCATTCTAACAATGCCGTCTTCACCATCGATACTAAGCAGGACTCCTGTGGCCTCCCTGTCCTCTCCCAGAATCACCTTCACCTTAGGAGCAAATGCACATACATTAATTTCAATAATCTTCCAGCGAATGTGACAGAACAACATAATTCTTAAAGCAAGATTCTGTATCCATTAAATTTGGGATGCTCATTAGGAGGCGATATGTGTAACGCCAATGAATATTATTTGCCTCTGTTATTCCACACGATTTTTTCTTTAAGATGATTAGCTGATACAATCAAACTGTGCCCTCTGAAGCATGAAATCCTTTGATAAAAGCTTGGCATTAACCTTCTTATGGATTCATAACAAATATTTTTAGATTTAGTTTTTTTTGTAACTTAGAAATGCTAAACGAAAAAGTAAATGTCTTTGCACCTCTCATTTGTGGAGAGGAAAAAAGTCCTAAAAGGTTAATAGTTTCTGAAGAAAATAGCCTTGTACTTGTGTTGTTAGCAATATTAGTATCAGTGGCTATGTTTCCAACTAAAGATGCAAATTAAATGTATGTGCAAAACAGGAATATACCATAAAAGATATGCGAATAAAGCAGCACTTCCATCCAATGAGTCAGAGTAAAAAATCGTCACTTACTGATTAACTGGTGCCAAATATCAAAAATAAAAACAGAATTTGCTGTGGTAGGAGAAGCTGCATGAATCTTTTCTTTATTTAATAATCAGAAGACTACGGTGGCCGGGAAGTGCAAAACAACATTACGAAGTTTAAAACACTTTTAAACCACGCTGTGGAGTACATGGCGTAAAAGAAGTTTACGGTGACCAAACATGGACTGCGGTCGAGGGTTGTTTTGCCCGTTTTGTGGCAAACACGTGAGCAGCTTAACACGGTTTTACTTTGCGTGTGGTCGGTGTTTAGAGTTTATAAAGGACGCGGAGCAGACGGAAACGCCAGACCTTCCGCCAGACATGCTGCATCAATGTGTTCAATATTTTAACGAGATCCACTCGTACGCTGTATTAGTGAACATGATGTCAAGTCTACACGGTGTACACCTCTGCTTGAGGACTCTTAACAGTAAACTGAAGGAAGCCAGTGTTACGGTTTAACTGGTGTCCGTGTTAACTGGGGACCCTTTTCAAATGTGCAAACTATCCACGTTTGCAGATTGGCAGATTCATCACTTTTTCACAGCAACAAAACATGCCCATACCAAATAAAGATTCTTATTCACTTGGTGTCAGTGTATCATTGTTGATTTAATATTTGTGTGGCAGAACAGCATAAACCAAAATTAATCTAAAGAAATAATTATAATTGACATGTCATCAACAAGATTCGAACCCAAGTCAAAAGGTTCTGAACGAGTATCAACCGACTTATCCAACTGAGCTACTCCAGTGTACAGGTTGAGATCGGTTTTGGTATCTTTAACAGTCAACATGTGCCGTGCTTTAATTGTTTCCATGTACTTGCATTTACATGTTTCTATGCACTCTTACGCTGATATTTTCTCAGAATAGCTCTAATTTATTTTATTGCAGTTAGTCAAACCATGATTTTTATAGTTGTAGACTTGTGGAAATCTGTCTACAAAGCCACACACGAGCTGGATATTATTAATATTTTCCAATGTGTGTTACATTCCGGGTCACTGCCGGTGTGTGGTACATTCTACGCCACTTCCGGGGTGTGGTACATTCCCTTTGCGTAGGGAATCTGTAATTGTAAATTTGTTTCAGGATTTGTAAAAGTGTTTCGCGTCTTGTTAATTTGTTTTCTAAAATGTAAATTTGTTTCGTCCTTTGTAAAATTGTTTTTCCTATTTTTCCTATGGCCAATTGTGTCTGATGATAGGTAAAAATGTTTTTCAAAATGTAAATTTGTCTCGAGCTTTGTAAAAGTGTTTTAAACTTTGTAATGTTGTTTTGCACTTCCCGGCCACCGTAGAAGACAAATGCAGATGTGAAATGAATGCGTGGTGATGTTTGAAGGCTTGAGATGTGGAGCACAGACACTCTTGACCAGAGGTGGGACCAAGTCATTGTTTGGCAAGTCACAAGTAAGTCTCAATTCATTGCCCTCAAGTCCCGAGTCAAGTCCCGAGTCAAGACAGGCAAGTCCCGAGTCAAGTCCCAAGTCAAAGGCAACAAGTCTCAAGTCAAGTCCAAAGTCCTATAGTTTGATTTTCGAGTCTTTTCAAGTCTTTTTAACAGAAAAATGAACTGTAAACAGATTATGTATGGCTGTAAGATCTGTATTTATTAAACAAACCTTTTTTTATGAAAGAACATTGCTCAGATATATAAAAACACAAATGTAATTTTCTGAAAAAGTGCTAAACAGTGCTGCATCTTGTCTACACAGCACATTGCACAAGAACGAGTTCCACTACAATAGAGTCCATTTTGCCTCACATCACACAGAAATTGCAGGTCTACTGCTGTCTAGTTCAATAAGTTTAGTTGTGCTATGTTATGTCTTCTGTGATCAACTTGTGATTAACTAAAACTACATAAACGACCTCAATGAGGCAGCAGTAGACCAACAACTCCTGTATGCTGCAAAGTAAAATTGAGTGAACTTGGTATTTTGTCAATTGAATCTCGTGTGTGCTGAAGAGATGAAGATGCAAATCTGTCTAGCAGCAATGTAAAATTGTGGCACATATTCTCAATGAAGTAGGCTACTTTATACAAACATTAACGTTGTTTTCTTCACATAACAATGAAGAACATTGCTCTCTACCTTGTGTGATGCTCCTGCACCGATTTCCTCTGTGGACAAAACTGCTTGCGAGCTCTGAAATATACGCTGCTCATGCGCAAATTTTCTCGCTCTCAAATACGCACTGCTCATGCACACATTTTCCTGCGCGCTCTCAGAGATTATATACAGATTTTGAGTCTTGTGTTTCCTCTTCCTTTCGTGCTTTTTGATATAATTTATATTGAGGCACTATTTATTAACAATAACCAAAGTACTAAAATAGACTTACATATTAAATTTTTAATCTAATAAACCATAAAATTTTGGCTGTATGTTTTATGATGAGATATTTCCAGTTTTTAAACACTTAAAGACACAGAGAATAGATGTTGGATGTAAAGAATGCATTTTGTTTTACAAACATTTATTAATCATCCGAAAGGTGTACCATACTAATCAAATAAAAAAACATTTAAACAAAAATATAACTAACGCAAGCAGAAATTTAACTGTGATAAAATAAGGAAAAACTTGATTTGGCATTATAGCCTACTGTACTATTCACTCTTTAAATAAATCTCACTATCAATCCCATTTTATCATGGCAACTAAAATAAAATGAACACGTCTCTGCTGTCTTCCACATTATTTATGAGATTGTGGAGGACATTTTCCATGTCATCCTCTTCATTTTGAGGAAAAGCTGTTCCACAGGGCCCCTGAACACATCTTTTGTCATGGACAGTGTTTTGAACAGTACTATAGTAAAGTACTTTAATTAATTTGTTGGGGTCATATTATAGTTGCTATGGTAACACAAGTGTAATATAAACAAATTACCCAGTGCTTTAGTTTTTTACAATATAGGGTATATTATACTACAATTCACCACACTTTACTGTAGAAAAACTACACTCTGTATTTTATTTTATCAGTTCACTATTCTTAATACTACAGTATGCTGAAGCATTCATTAACAACTTGTAAATAATACTAGCCTAAAACATAGGCAGTATACCTAACTCTCAAAAACACTGGTATTTATTATAGAATTTACCTTAACCTCATAGTTTTTCATGTATTGTTACTAAATAGTGTAGCAATATATAAACCATATCAACATTCTGGAATAATCAATTTACCAGGAGGATCTCTGGAGAGCAAAAGCAGGAAAGGTTTGAGGCGCCAGTGTGGACAAAAGTCAAGCAAACGCAGTGAGACTGAATACGTGCACAAGAGACCAGCCAATCAGATTGAAGTACCTGCCCACTGGTGAAAGTAATGTCAGAGCCAATCAGATTTTTCTTTCTTTTCATAAAGAACGGGGTTCAAATCCCACTTAGGCACTTGTAACTATCATTTTAGACCATTTTGTCAAAAATCCCTACTGAAAAAAACAGCTTGAACCAGCCTAGGCTGGTTTTAGCTGGTCGACCAGGCTGGTTTTAGAGGGGTTTTGGCCATTTCCAGGCTGGTTTCCAGCCATTTTCAGCCTAGTCTTAGCTGGTCAGGCTGGGAGATGACCAGCTAAAACCAGCTTGACCAGCCTAGCCAGGCTGGGAGCCCAGCCAAAACCAGCTATGTCCAGCTTAAACCAGGCTGGTCAAGCTGTTTTTAGCTGGATTTTGCTGGTCAGTTTCCAGCCTGATCAGCTAAGACCAGGCTGGAAATGGCTGAAAACCAGCCTA